CTGACCGTGGACTCTGAGGATGGGATATTGTCCGCGGCCGGTTCCTCAGCGGACGGGGAAGAGGAGGAAGGAGATGAGGAGGACGAGGCAGTAGACAGCGCTTACAACGCTGATTTGCCCGACAGCCAGGAGCTCTTCATCACCCTGACAGAGATCCCCTACCAACCCTCCCCAGCCGTTACCCCAGACACAGATTCAGGGGACGGATCAAGCAGTAAGTGTTTTAAATATCTAAACATTTATTTACAACATAACTGGCGTATTTAAAATATTAACATTAGCTAAAGTGCTTTAAAACATGTAAACATTTATTTGCAACAAAACAGGAAGATTGAAAATATGAACAGTGGGTAAAGTGCTTCAAAACATGTAAACAGTAAAGTCAAACAAAAGGAGAATCAGTGCAAAGTGTATCATGATTTGTCTTTTTTTGGGCGCCTCAATATATAGTCCGAACCATTTTCAAAAAATTGCACAATGTCCGCTTCATGATTATAATGCCCAAAACCCTGCAGTCATTTGTCCCTCCAAGGGCACCTAAGCCAGGAACTGGTCAATGTAACCGGGGATAGAGGCGAGATCCTCCGGGGAGAACTCCTCATACACCTCCTGCAGGTGTTTTTCCAGCCTCATCAGCAGGTTCCTGGGCAGGGAGAGCTTATTAGGCCCCCCGTGGTAGGACACGTTTCCCTGCCACAACGCCAGCAGGTACTCCGGGATCATGGCCTTGCACAGCAGTGCAGCAAATGGCCCCGGTTTCTGCAGGCTGTCCCGGAGCATCTTCTCCTTCTGGCTCTCGGAGACCTTCAGGAGGGTGATGTCTGGCATGGCTCCCTGCTGTGAATTAGGTATGGGAAAGTTAGTATTGGGACTGCTTGCCCGTCCCTTTATAGAACTGCAACCGCCGGTTTACAGCCACGCGGTTTACAGCCGCGAGGGGGTGGGACAGGGGCAGAGTTCATGCTTGCAGGATTGCTGCCAGCAGAGACTCGCATTGCTTTCTATTTGAAAGGAGGCCAGTGCCACTCTTAAAGTTTTAAGCGGCCACAAGTCTACGGCTTACCATGTTTGCCATCTAGACAAAGTCCGGTGTCCTGCCCTGCTCCTCAGCTCGCCACAGCAAGACCGCAGGCACTGTAGGCGAGGGCCGAAAATTCGACCTTGTCCTCAGTGCGCGTGTGATAGGTGCTCTGCATGGTCTTGTTCACAGAGAAAGACTATGTTCTCTGTTCACAGATACATTGCTCTGTCTCAGGAATTCACTCCCTTTTTACAATTCCCACAGCCACATCTGCCCAGAGGCTAGCGCACATTAGGAGGAGGAAGAAGAGGACACGGGAAGACATGTTTGCTGAACTAATGGGATGCTCCCGAGCACAGGCAGCCCAGCAGACACAGTGGAGGGAGAACTTGTCCCAAATGCACCGGGCAAACATGGAACGGGAGGAGAGGTGGCGACAGGAGGACAGGCAGGATACTCAAACGCTGCTTGGACTAATGAGGGAGCAAACGGACACGCTCCGCCGCCTTGTGGATGTTCTGCAGGACCGGAGGCAGGAGGAGAGAGCCCCGCTGCAGTCTCTCTGTAACTGCCCTGCCCCGCCACCAAGTCCCATACCCCCCTCACCCAAAGTCCAAACACGGAGGGGTGGAAGGGGCCGTGAAAAATTTCACTCCACCCCTGCGGACTGCTCTACCACTAGAAGGCTCTCATTCCCCAAAATTTGAAAAGTCCTTTCCTACCCGCCTCACACAAGACCCCGTCCAAGTTTCACCCCCCCGTTCCATGTGCGGTTGTTAATAAAGAATACGTTTCTGTTCATTTCTGTTTCCATCCTCTTCTTTTGGAGGGGAGTCTGTCTGAAGGGGGGGGGAAGGGGCTTGGTCATTGGACAGGACAGTCACCTTTAGCAGGGGGCAGGTGCAGCAGCAGGGCACATATACAGTGCAGTGACTAGTTATCCTGGTCAGTCTGGGAGGTGGTTTTCATGTTTTGTGTGGTGGGGGCGGTGGTGTTGCTCTGTGACTTGGTGGCGGGGGAGGGCAGTTACAGATCTTATGCAGCGGTCCTTACCCTGCATCACAGAGCCGCGCAGCAGGGGATCTGTAACCCTCCTCCCCCTGCAAGACAGTCACATAGCCGACACATACACGCAGTCCCGGCCAGGAGGGCTGGCAGGCTCCGTTGAAACAACCAGTCCACCACCGCGGAGCCTGTCATTCCTGGAGTTTAGAGGCATCATTTGCATCACAACCCTAAACCCGCCCCCCGCCACAGTCTGTGTCCCAGGTTTAAAACATTCCCGCGAAAACAGTAATAAAGACAACGGTGTCCATTAACAAAACAGAACAGACTTTATTTTTTGGGAAGGGGGTGAAGGGGGTATGTAAGTGGAGAGGATAGTCGACGGCAACTGGGTAAAGAAAGGGGGGCAAGTTCTGCCTCTGTGTCCACAAACTTAAAAGTCACTGGGTACCCTGCTCAGCCTTGAAACTGGCTTTCAAAGCCTCCCGGATGCACAGCGCGTCCCGCTGGGCTCTTCTAATCGCCCGGCTGTCTGGCTGGGCGTAATCAGCAGCCAGGCTATTTGCCTCAACCTCCCACCCCGCCATAAAGGTCTCCCCCTTGCTCTCACAGAGATTGTGGAGCACACAGCAAGCTGCAATAACGATGGGGATATTGGTTTCGCTGAGATCACAGCGAGTGAGTAAGCTTCTCCATCTCCCCTTGAGACGGCCAAAAGCACACTCCACCACCATTCTGCACTTGCTCAGCCGGTAGTTAAACAGTTCTTTTTCTGTGTCCAGGGCGCCAGTATAGGGCTTCATGAGCCAGGGCATTAGTGGGTAGGCTGGGTCCCCGAGGATCACTGTAGGCATCTCCACATCCCCCACAGTTATCTTGTGGTCCGGGAAGTAAATACCTTCCTGCAGCCGTCTAAACAGACCAGAGTTCCTGAACACGCGAGCGTCATGAACCTTGCCCGGCCATCCGACATAGATGTTTGTAAACCGTCCCCGATGGTCCACCAGTGCTTGCAGCACCATTGAAAAGTAGCCCTTTCTATTGATGTACTGGCTGGCCTGGTGGCCCGGTCCCAGGATAGGGATGTGAGTCCCATCTATAGCCCCACCGCAGTTTGGGAATCCCATCGCAGCGAAGCCATCTATGATGGCCTGCGCGTTTCCCAGGGTCACTACCTTTGACAGCAGTACCTTGACGATTGCCTTGGCTACTTGCATGACAACAACCCCCACGGTAGATTTGCCCACGCCAAAGTGGTTCGCGACTGACCGGTAGCTGTCCGGCGTTGCAAGCTTCCAGAGGGCTATGGCCACTCGCTTCTGGACAGTCAGGGCTGCTCGCATGCGGGTGTCCTTGCGCTTCAGGGCAGGGGACAGCAAGTCACAAAGTTCCAGGAAAGTGCCCTTCCGCATGCGAAAGTTTCGCAGCCACTGGGATTCATCCCAGACCTGAAGCACTATGCGGTCCCACCAGTCCGTGCTTGTTTCCCGGGCCCAGAATCGCCGTTCAACAAAATCCACATGCCCCATTGCCACCGTGATGTCCTGGGCGCTGGGGCTCGTGGTTTCTGACAGCTCTGTGCTACTCTCCGACTTCAGGCCCTCACGGCGGTGCCGTAGCCTCCTCGCCTGATTACTCTGCATCTGCCTCAGGGTAAGGTGTATGATAAGGTGCGAGGCGTTGAGAACGGCCACAACTGCAGCGATGGTCGCAGCGGGATCCATGATCGCAGTGCTGTGGCGTCCGCGCTGTCACTGATCAAAAAGTGCGCGAACTGATTTCCCGCCGGCGCTTTCAGGGAGGGAGGCAGGGCGGTAGTGACTGACGGATGACGACAGTTACCCAAAAACACCCTCGCCACATTTTTTTACCCAGAAGGCATTGGGGGCTCGACCCAGAATTCCAATGGGCAGCGGGGACTGCGGGAACTGTGGGATAGCTGCCCACAGTGCACTGCTTCCAATGTCGACGCTTTCCCTGGTACTGTGGACTGACAAAGTCGAATTACTGTCCTTAGTGTAGACACACACGTTCGACTTTCTAATATCGATTGCACATATTCGATTTAACTAAAATCGAACTACTCTCGTAGTGTAGACATACCCTAAGAGACAGCAAGCCTGTTCCTCCACATTAGTTGGATCAGAAGAACCAGAGTTCTTCAGGTCTCCAAGGTATTGATGACTGTCCTAATGTCATGGCCTGAAGGAAGGGAGGCAGAATGAAGTTCAAATCAAGCTATTTTGTTTCCCTAAATAAATTCTCACATAGAAAGAATAAGAGAGTCACATTTGCAGTTGTGTAGCTAGTTGTTGTAGCCAAATTTAAAATCCTACAAAATGTGTGGCTCCAGAGCTGAAGATGACACATTATAGGCCTAAATGCCTGGGAATGGGATGTGGGAGGTGACTGCAGTATTGTCCATAGTAATGGAGGGAAGATTAATAACTATGTTTCAGTCATACTGCATTTAAGACGATGGTTGGACATCATGAGATGTCAGAAAGACAGGCAGAGAGATGGGACTGGATGAAGGAACAGTTTGATCAATATCAGCATCAATCTGCCCTAGAAATTATGCCCTGTTGCTGCCACCTCTCTCCTCCAACGACTAGAAGAGAATACTACAGAGGACAAATTCATGATTATTAAACAAAAGCAGTTCTTGATTCAACTTTTCTATTTTTGCCATAGTATTCCTCTCATCTGAGTTTCAGCCCACAATGCTTTTGTCCATGTACCTCATAGTCTCCCCTCTTCCAGTTTTACTACTGCTTATCCTTCTGCAACCTTTACTTACCATTATAAGCCTTTTTTGCTGCAATCCTCTAGTGTGGTAGAAATAGGCTTATGAGACGATGAAAGGTAGCTTTTATAGTAACATGTAACAACTTTCCAATTCCACAAGAGCCACAGTGCTATTACACCCACGATAAATTCCAGAATTTATATTCATTATGTCAAATTATATTACCTTGTATAAGCCACGTATACCCTCCAGCTTGTATATCTTTATAAGAGCATCAAACATTCCTTTGTACTGGCGCTTTGATGAATCAATGCCAGCATCATACTGTAACACAAGCCGTGTCTTCGTTACCCATATTGGGTTTGTGATACAGAGGGTCATGACTCCTAAGAACAGATGAAAGTTAGGGTAATATTATGAATGCCACGCTGAAAGTTTGTACCATTTTGTTCAATTCAGTACAACAAACAAACACACACCCATCCTACAAGAATACTAAACAAGAAAAATGTAGGCATTCCATTCTTTTCCTCTTAACTTTGAGACCGAATCCTACTGCAACAGTTCTGCTGAACAGAGGGTGGGAGGGGAAACTGGTATAATTTGGGGAGTCTGTGCAGAAGTGCACGCTGCAGACCACAGGACTCCCTGTGTATCCTTATCCACTGGCCCCAATGTAATCTCCTCCTTTACTCCACCATGGTCCAAATGGTGGAATCGGGACATAAGAAGCTAGTTTTATTTTATATGTGCTTTAATAATCTCAATTTAGCCTTATGGTATACAAAATTTCAAAATTAAACAAGGGTGCACAGAAATAAAGTGTCCATGTAATGAACCACCTAACTCTGTCAGAATGATTAACCTGATGTAGCTTTACAGATTACTTTAAGTCATAGGACTGTGAAGTAATGACAAACTAATGATACAATTTAATGTGTAGTATTGCAACAAGAAATCCTCCAAAACTCCAAGATTACCATCTATATCAGAGAAATGTATACAAGAATATAAGAACATTAGAAATTATTTAGATTAAAAATTGCAGAGATCAGATATTTGTATTTTGTAGGTAAGATATTTTGAGCATTGGATTGGACCTGTAGTGTCAATCAGATCTGGAATTCAGATCCATTTAATATTTCTGGAATTCAGATCCATTTAATTCTTTAAGTATTAAATGTATCTGAATTCCAGATCTGATTGACACTACGGGTCCAATCCAATTCTCATTAAAGCCAATCAAGTTATTGCACTGACTTCAATGGGTGCTTGATTGGGTCCTATATCTGCTTTTGTGTGTTTTGTAAGTACTCAAAATTAACATTAATACATTATATTACAAGGATGTATTTAATAAATTTTGGCCTTTTATTGCACAGCTGCATATAGGTTATGCACTAGAATTTGTATAAAATATTAAGAAAAGAGGGCTATGCAGCCATAAAACATTTTAGTGGCTGCTATTTGTGAATAAAAATGTAAAACACACAGCTGTCCAACCAAACAATATTAATTATTACTTTGTAAGTGAATGCAGCTGGACTGAAACACTTGCACTTGCCATCTGGAAGAAAAAGAAACATTGACAGACAAAGGCAAAAACAGCATATGGACAGGCTGAAGGTAAACATTAATCTCGTTAGCATTTTCCTCACCGGCCTCAGCAGCTGACACTAGGTGCTCCGTTGCACCAAGACTTTCTAGCTTTCTTTCCTCCTTATAGGCTTTGATGGCATTATAGCTGGAAGAGGTAAAACATATTTAGATAGAAGAAATACAGATCATTTAGGAAAAGGTTTTTAAAGATTATATATTACTTTATGCACCATTGCCCTTAGAGAGCACACAGAGTCAGAGATTAACCTGTCTCAGTCAGATGCAATACAAGTTGCTTTAGGCAATTTAAATATATTTTACAACAGAACCCTTTAAAGTGCCAGAATATTCCTAGATGACAACAATGGGACTGCACCCTGTAACTTTTATCTGAACTGAAAAATTAGTTTGTGTGAGATGTTTGTAAGACAAAAGACTGCCTCTTCATAAAACCTAGGCAGTAGGTATTTATTTTCTAGCACTACATTATATCAATCTTTATCTACTGGATTGACCTCATGCACTCTGGTCTGCATTCTGGATTTTGAATGAACTTTCACTGGGAGGTGAACAAGTGGAAGTCAGAAGAGAATAAGCTCTAGATAATCAGTAGAATAGTTTTGCACAAATAACTGTCCTCTACTTTGTTTGAATCAACAGGAAATCAGTTTGCCATTTTATAGTTAATAAACAAATTTAAGACACTTTACATTGAAGAAAAGGCCCCAAAGAGCAAAAAACCATCAGCTCACAAAAAATTCTGAGAAGCTGACTTGCACACATTGATTTCTTTATGCATGTCTTAAATGCTTTCATCTTCAACAGACTAAATAATTTAAAGTGCCTATTTAATTCCTAATATCTGTCCAAGTTTAGGTTCTTATTTTCTATTTAGCATAAATTATTTCAGGTTCTAGAAAAAAAGATTCATGATACTTGACAATAAGAACTGCCATTCTGGGTCAGACCATGGTCCATCTTTCCTAGTATCCTGTCCCCAGTGGTGGCCTGTACCAGAGCTTCAGGGGGAAAAGTACAGAATAGGGCAATTACAGAGTGATCCACTCCATCCTCAAAAAGAACAGGAGTACTTGTGGCACCTTAGAGACAAACAAATTTATTTGAGCATAAGCTTTCGTGGGCTACAACTCACTTTTTCGGATGCATAGAATGGAACATATATTGAGGATATATATATATATATATACACACATACAGAGAGCATGAAAAGGTGGGAGTTGTCTTACCAACTCTGAGAGGCCAATTAAGTAAGAGGAAAAAAACTTTTGAAGTGATAATCAAGATAGCCCAGTACAGACAGTTTGATAAGAAGTGTGAGAATACTTACATGGGGAGATAGGTTCAATGTTTGTAATGGCTCAGCCATTCCCAGTCTCTATTCAAGCCTAAGTTGATTGTATCTAGTTTGCATATCAATTCAAGCTCAGCAGATTCCTGATGTCAGATACATTGGCCAAACCGGACAGTCTCTATGCAAAAGAATTAATGGACACAAATCTGACATCAGGAATCATAACATTCAAAAACCAGTAGGAGAACACTTTAACCTGTCTGGTCATTCAATGACAGACCTGCGGGTGGCAATTCTGCAACAGAAAAGCTTCAAAAACAGACTCCAACGAGAAACTGCTGAGCTTGAATTGATATGCAAACTAGATACAATCAACTTAGGCTTGAATAGAGACTGGGAATGGCTGAGCCATTACAAACATTGAACCTATCTCCCCATGTAAGTATTCTCACACTTCTTATCAAACTGTACTGGGCTATCTTGATTATTACTTCAAAAGTTTTTTTTCCTCTTACTTAATTGGCCTCTCAGAGTTGGTAAGACAACTCCCACCTTTTCATGCTCTCTGTATGTGTATATATATATCTCCTTAATATATGTTCTATTCTATGCATCCGAAGAAGTGGGTTGTAGCCCACGAAAGATTATACTCAAATAAATCTGTTAGTCTCTAAGGTGCCACAAGTACTCCTGTTCTTTTTGCAGATACAGACTAACACGGCTGCTACTCTGAAACCACTCCATCCTGTTCTCCACTCTCGGTTCCTGATGGTCACAGGTTAAGGGTTACCCCGAGCATGGGGTTTCATCCCTGACCATCTTGGTTAACAGTCATTGATGGACCAATTCTCCATGAACCAATCCAGTTCTTTTTTGAACCCAGTTATATTTTTGGCCATCACAACATCCCATGGCAATAAATTCCACAGATTAATTGCACGTTGTGTGAAAAGTACTTCCTCATTTGTATTAAACCTGTTGTTTATCAATTTCATAGGTGACCCCTGGTTTTTGGATAGTGTGAAAGGGTTTCATTTTTCTATTCACTTTCTCCACACCATTCATGATTTTATAGACCTCTCTCACATCCCTCCTTAGAAGTCTCCTTTCCAAGCTGAATAGCCCCAAACTATTTAGTCTCTCCTCATATGGAAGCCATTCCATACCCTTGATTATCTTTGTTGTTCTTCTCTGAACCTTTTCCAGTTCCACTATATCCTTTTTGAGAGGAGGCAAACAGAACTGGACACAGTATCCCAGGTGTGGGCACATCATGGATTTATAAAGTGGTATTATATCTTCTGCCTTATTTTCTATCCCCTTCCTAATAGTTCCTAACATACGGAGAGACTTTTAGATTGCTACTGCGCATGGAGTGGAAGTTTTCAGAGAACTATCCATGGTTACTCCAAGATCTTACTTAATTTGCCATTTTGTTACCCAGTTTTGTGAGATTCCTCTGTAACTCCTCAAAGTCTGCTTTAGACTGAACTATCTTGAATAATTTTGTATCATCAGCAAACTTTGCCGCTTCACAGTTCACTCCTGTAGCGGGGTGGTCACCCGGCTCCCACCTTAAAGGGCATGATACAGTAACAGTTTTCAAATAATGTTAAGCGCCATTATAAAGAGAACAGTGATCAATTGTTCTCCATATTCACTGACGATAGGACAAGTAGTAATCAGCTTAAGCTATAGCAAGGGAGATTTAGGTTAGATGCTAGGAATTAAGAAAAACTTTCTAACTATAAGGAAATTAAATATTAGAATAGGTTACTATGGGAATTTATGGAATCCCTGTCATGGAAAGATTTTAAGAACAGGTTAGACAAACAACTATTAGGCATAGTCTAGATATACTTGCTCCTGCCTCAGTGTGGAGGGATGGACTACATGATCTTGAGGACCCTTCTAGACCTACACTGCTATGTTTTCTATGTTTGCTGACAAAATTTTAAAGAAAGTCGAACCAATGATCTGGTCAAAGTCACTGGCTAAGCACCTGGAACCAGAGTTTGCTGAAGTGATAAACCAGCTATTGACAGCAGTACCCTCTTCTGCAGGTGCAGAGACAATATTTTTCATTTTAGTCTATTCAAATAGTTCAATGACTAGTTCAGTCAAAGTTAAGAATCTGATTGGAAGTTGGAAAAACAAAAAACAAAAAACAGGAAAACTTGTTTCCCCTCTTCCAATCCATGAATAAAAATGGGGTGCGAGGATAAGATCTACTAGTTCTAAAATCTTGAAGGACAGAGACCAGAAATAATCGTGTCAATTCACTAATTACAGACAGTATTTCCTTAATAAAGCAATAAGTTTTAAATATAAAACATGTTTTGATAATCTTTTTCTTGTGTATCCAGTACATTTAAGGTAGTTTTATTTAACTAATAAAAACAATTTTAAAATGCTGTTTTTGTGTACTTTTACTTGAATTTCAATTTTCATTCAAATACTTAGAAAAGATGTATATAAAAATTAATAATCTAATAAAGAAAATGCATAATTCACAATTTTCTAATAAAAAAATCTAAGAAACCCAAGACTCTGAATGTGTTTTACACTAAATAATTGCTTAAGTAAGTGTATAGACATAGTGCAATCTCCTGGTTAGCAAAAACTACCCCATTTCATGTCAAGGTTTATCTAGTTGTAAATCAACATTTTTGAATGGTTATACCAACCAATGAGAATGAACCTTTCTTTAGGAAAATAACTAAAGTACAAATGCAAGACAACATTAAAAATGATTACATTAAATCCGAGTCTCCTGCTTGTAAAATAAATCATGAATACAGTTGGTTAAAGGATGATTAAAACTGATTTAAATCAATCCACCCTGGTTCCAATGCAGTACTCTATTTACTAGGCCACGCTACCCTCCTAGGTATGCACTATATTTTACAAAAGTTACAGGTCCCTGTCCTAAACTGCTTACAGTCTAAATAAGACTTAAAATAGCAAGTGATGACAAAGGGAAACATTTATATGTATGCACCCTCACCATCTCCCCAAAATCAAAGTGCAACCTACATTCAAGGATCACTTTGCATAGAATATTAATATTCTACAGATCCACTTACAAGAAAAAGTAGAGTCCCCAGGAGGCACCTGCACCCCAAATGTTTGGAATTACCCCTTTGTACAGGCCACGTAGTCCTTCATGCTTCCAGACAGTGGTCAAACAGTGTAGAATCCCATTGTATTTTGGTCTCAATTCCAACCCGTCACTCACTATTTAAAAAAGAGATTACATTGAAAAAAAAAAATCATTCCATAAAGAGTGAAAGCGAGCTGTATAAAAACTACAAAGCAAATAACTTTTTCTCTAGGCTGAACAGGGAAATGTGCAGTATTAAAGAAAGTTGTAGTGAACCGGCTGGCATAGCTATTTACACTAGAACGTCAGAGTTACAAAAAGTTTATGAATGGAGGTTTTGTTCGTAACTCTGAAATGTTCATAACTGTGAACAAAACATTATGGTGGTTCTTTCAAAGGTTTATAACTGAACATTGACTTAATACAGCTTTGCAACTTAGTATGCAGGAGAAAAATGCTGCTTTTAACTATCTGAATTTAAATGAAACAAGCACAGAAACAGTTTCTTTACCTTGTCAAATCTTTTTTTAAACTTTCCCTTTATATTTTTAGCATGTAATAAACTACTGCACTGTATTTACTTTCTCTCTCTCCCCGCCCCGCCCGCTGCTGCCTGATTGCATACCTCTGGTTCCAAATGAGGTGTGTGGTTGACTGATCAGTTCGTAACTCTGGTGTTTGTAACTCTGAGGTTCTACTGTAGCTGTATTCCAAAGGCGAATGTGAGTTAGGGTTAGGGGAACTTTACAACGGATTGATGCAGTTGTCCTGCAGACCTCCTATGGTCAACAGGATGGAAGCGCCTCTCACTTAGAAGGTAACTCTGCTGCTGCGTACCTTAGATGAGTAGCATCCTTGACTTAAAGCATTTTGTCAGTTTTACAGAGGATGGCGTTTGTCTTCTTTTCTTAATGACCCTAAGAGTTTTATGCTACATCTAACCTATAATCTGAGATTTTTGTGGTCCTCTACGAATACTACTTTTTCCCCCCCAGAAGATTTTGGTCCCTTGGAATTTTTATTATGACTTTAGCAAGAAATCCCCCATTTAAAATGTATCATCCATGTTTGAAGTATGATTTTCAACAGGTCATGATCCGGTGAATTCAAAATCAGTTTTTACCAGAACAATCAAAGGCTATTTCCATGCTAAATTCTAATTTTTTCCTCTGCCACTCCTCACTAGCTGGGCTACATTACATTTTTCTTTTAATTGGCCCTTTAATTAGTCTCCTTGGCCCTTTTCTATTCATCAGCTGAACTGTTTTTGCCCAAACTTTCAAAGACATTCACTTTAAGAAAAGATGGAAGTATGGAGAGTTTTAGCCTGATAGATTTCAGATGGAACAGAAATGTTTGTGTAGCCTTGACTATAGCCACTATAGCAGTTGCTACTGCTCTTACTATAATGTAAGACTATAAAATTGATGGCTACAGTATTTGCGACACCAGGAATTTACCTCAAAAGTAGGAACCAGAGGTGGGGTTTAGAGGGACCTAAACTTCAAACTAAAGCAAACTTTCCCAAGACTGTGTCACAACTAGACAATCATCTCAAAGTTTTGCAAACAGAGGGGCTTCCTGGCATGCTTATGCAGAGGAATTATGCCCCCATCAGAAATGGTAGTTTGGCAACTAAAACACAGACAGCATTTTCTGTTTCCATCCTCTGACTCGCCTCATGTACATAATATGTTCTGACAAAGACCAAGTTTGAAAAAAGAAATGGCTCAGCAGGACCTCAAAACAACAGGGAAGTCATAGCCTGGAACATACGTTAGGATGGTCAGTGAAGTTGTTGTTTACCCATATAATCTTAATCTCAGGTTATCAGTTTAATTTCACTTTAATGTCTTCTTAACCACCCTAATTAAACCTAGTTAGATCTTTGGGGTGTAGGAGCTCCTACCCTAAACCTGTTTTTAAACTTTCACTTTAATTAATAGTTTAGGTTTTTTTAATCACTATCCTAATTTCTCAGTCGCTAATTCCACTTCCTGGTTGAAGGCAGAGGCTGGAGACTCTTCTGGGTTCAACCCTGGCTCAGGGAGAGGGCAGGGATAGCTCAGTGGTTTGAGCATTGGCCTGCTAAACCCAGGGTTGTGAGCTCAATCCTTGAGGGGACCGAGGGGGGGGAATCTGTCAGGGACAGTACTTGGTCCTGCTAGTGAAGGCAGGGGACTGGACTCAATGATCTTTCAAGGTCCCTTCCAGTTGTATGAGATAAAAAAAAATATATGGAGATATACCTATTAGGTAAATGAAAACTTACTTCCATTCCATCTACACTGTTTCAGTGAGAATCCAGCTTGGTGGGGTGGACACATATTTGGCATCAGAGAACCAATAATTCAGGGGGACAGCTCAAAACGCACTGGTTGACTGGTGATGTTGTGGGGCTTAAACCCACCACCTGTGGCCACAAGCAGCAGGAATCACATGGAGCACTGGAGTTTTTATCATTGGATGAGGCCTTGGTGCAGAAAAAAACCTGAGACATCAGCATGCTCCCTCCACCTATTATTTCTGGGGATCAGAAAAGAGCATGTGAAGGGCCCATTCTGGTGAGGGAAGGAGTCCAAGTCTCAGTGGTTTGGGATACAGACTTTTGTCCAGTCACACCATAAAGCTCTTGAGAAACAGACAGCATCCAAAGCTTGGGAAATCACAAATACAATCTAAAATGGAATGATCAAAGCCCAAGAACTAAGATGGAATGCAAAACTTACAGGGGTCTGTGGCAGTTAGGAATAACAGCTGGGCTGAGGTATAGAGAAGTTTTAGCTAACTATCACTGCCAAACTAAGGCAAAAATGTGATATTAGATGTCAGGGAAAGTAAGACTTAGAAGGGTGGAAGGAGACAAGATTTAGAGGAAGGGACACTGTCCTGTTAAAAAAATATCTTGTGTTACCAGCCCTTTAAGGCTACTGAAACTAGTTTATTTTTCACCACCTATGCTATCTAGTTCTAATGTATCAATGAGATATTCATAATAAAAAGAAATCTAGTCAATTTTGCTTCTACTTAGTCAGTTGCATTTTCCAGTGTCCATATGCTAGGCAAAATGCTCCTTCTGTAACTGTAAGAAAAAGTGTTTAAATCCACACCAAAAAAGTACAATTCCACTTGAATCTTTAAATGTTACAGAAAACATATTTTGTAAAACTCTTCAAAAATTCACATTTAATTTTGGAGGCTAAATTATCCACAAATCAATTTAAAATAAATGTAAAGAAATGAGTCAGTTATTTAACCTATAGATAAACTGATGTGATAAAATAGAGGCTTCAAAAGAACAACTCATCAGCGACATCAACAGTAGCTCATCTGGAAGAGGATGACACCCTTCTCTGCAGAAAATCTGCAATTTCAACTTCATTCTTTGCTGACCAGCACCACAGCCTATAACAATGGGGCTAAATTAAACACTCTTTTGCCTCGACTATTTAATTGATTGGATCTAAAGACAGTAAAACTGCCCAGTTATGTACCACGGGAAAGTCAATGTAACGCATATGGAATTTAATATTGGATATCAAATCCAAACAAGATAACCGAATACTTGTTATAATGGTGTATTAAGGTTAAGTGTATTTTGATGGGTGCTTAGATCCAGTCAGTGTAACAAGATAGCAGTGGTTCTTAAACTTTTGTACTGGTGAACCATTTCACATAGCAACCCCCTGACTGCAACCCCTTTTATAAATTAAAAAGGCTTTTAAATATATTTAACACCATTATAAATACTAGAAGCAAAGCAAGGTTTGGGGTGGGGGCTGACAGCTCGCGACCCTCCATGTAATAACGCAGTGACCCCCAGACAATCCCTGAGTTAAAGTTTAGTGTCATTTAGTATTGTGCTGAATCGTGCTTATAGTAGATTCTCAATCCCAGGCTTTGCTGTCATTGCAGCCCTCTCCCCCGTCTCCTCAATCTTGTCTTGAGATGTGGCTGGTTTTCGACACCCGCAGGCGCCGGTGAAGGAGAGCGGGCACGCACTATGCCCCTTCGCAGCTAGCTAAAACACTCCAGCAGTATGGCCAATCTATGCTCTGAAGCGAAGGTGGGAAGAAGCAGATCGGAAGCCAGGCTGCGCTACAAATTGTGCCTCAGTTTCCCCAGTGGGAGTGGCTCCCGCAGCGTGGGGGCCACCCAGGGAGGGTGCCCCCTCTACAGGGAACGGGGGGAGCAGGGGGCCCGCCTCACCTGCGAAGCGGATCTTCACCAGGTCCAGCGGATGCAGCACCAGAGTGGAGACGACACCGCCGCTCAGACCCGCCACGAGGTTCTCGTACCGCACATGTCTGAACAGGGGCCGCAAGGGCGGGGCCGGCGGGGACTCCACCGCGCACACCGGCCCCCGCGCGCCCGGAGCCGCACTCATCAGCACTCGGCCACCGCGCCGCCAGCCCCGCCACAGGAACACAGGGCGTGGGCGAGCGAGCCCGCGGCGCCGGCCAAGCTCCCTCGCTGGTGGGTGGAGCCGGGCCACACACGTGAGCGGGGGCAAGACACGAAGACCTTTGCCCCAGGTCTTACGTAGGGATTGGGGAGGGTGTCACGTGAGCCCCACGTTAGCTCTTCCGGTCGTTGGTGTGGCTAATGACCGCTGACTTGACCCGGAAGTGTGCCGGGCTGGTTCCGGTCTGTGCAGCCGTGAGGAGCGGAGCGCGGCGGCAGCAGCGGCAGGATGAGGGTGAAGGTGCTGAGCCGGAACCCGGATGATTACATCCGCGAGACCAAGCAGGATCTCCAGCGCGGTGAGCGCGCGCGGGCAGGCGGGCGGTTGGTTGGGGGGGGGAATCTTCGGTCCGCGCGATGGACAGGTGCTTGAGGTGATCCTGGCGCAATGGCTACTTGTGCCGGTCGGGTACTGAGCCCCGTTCCCCGGGGCCCGCCTTGTGCTGGGCCATCCGCCAGAGAAGGGGGAGCATGGGTCTGGCAGGCTGGGCTAGGAGAGGGTCTGACCTGCGAGCCCCTTGGACTGGGCCGCGTGTGTGTACAGCGCCTAGCATAGCAGCGTCCGGGTCCCGGGCGTGGCGCCGTCCCAGGCTGCAAGTAAGTAACGATAACACTGTCGGGGGGGCGGGTGCAGCGCCAAACCGACCTCCCTTCCCCCCTCATATGCCACGACCCCCTGCTGGTTTCGGCAGCATCCCGGCCTCCATTCAGTGCCCGGCTGGACTGTGCTTTGGCATCCGGGGTCATGTTCTAGTGCAGGGGTTGGCAACCTTTCAGAAGTGCTGTGCCGAGTCCTTATTTATTCACTCTAATTTAAGGTTTCGCGTGCCAGTAATACATTTTAACGTTTTTAGAAGGTCTCTGTCTATAATATATAACTAAACTATTGTTGTATGTAAAGTAAATAAGGTTTTAAAAATGTTTAAGAAGCCACATTTAAAATTAAATTAAAATGCAGAGCCCCCCCCGGACCGGTGGCCAGGACCTGGGCAGTGTGAGTGCCACTGCAAATCAGCTCGCATGCCGCCTTTGGCATGCGTGCCATAGGTTGCCTACCCCTGGTCTAATGCAAGTGATGGTGCCACGTTCATTGCGCACTTCCAAGCGCCGCAATGCCTGAGGATGTTTGTGCTCTTCTGTGGTTCTTCTTGTTGTCCTGTGTGAGCATTTCACACACTAATGAATTTACCATTTCAACACCTGAGTGAGACATATTATTATGCAGGCTTTACAGATTAGTAAATGACACTCAGGCTTTGGCTACACTGGTGCTGTACAGCGCTGCAACTTGCTGTGCTCAGGTGTGTGAAAAAACACCCCCCTGAGCGCAGCGAGTACAGCGCTGTAAAGCGCCAGTGTAATCAGTGCCTGCAGCACTGCACACTCGCTCGCAGCGCTGCAAGCTACTCCCCTCGGAGAGGTGGAGTACGTACAGTGCTGCGAGAGCTCTCTTGCAGCGCTGGCGGCGCGACTACACGCGCGCTTCACAACGCTGATGTGCCAGCGCTGTGAAGTCCCGAGTGTAGCCAAGCCCCCAGGGAGATTAAAGCCAACACCTACAGAAGTGTCTGCTGACTTTGGATATCTCAGTAACTTGATGCCCGAGGCAACTATGGCCTGATATACAGAAATGCTTAGCACCTGCAGTTCCTATTGACTTCAGTCAGAGTTGAGAATGAAAATCAGATTCTTGATGTTTCAGATTGGATACTTAGAAATTGAAGAACATAAAATTAGTGTTCTCCTCTGCAAAGTCTGGTTTAAGTAATTTCCTTACCATGGCATAGAAAGTCTGTGTCAAAGCCTGGATTAGAAACTAGTTCTACTGGGTCCTGCCCAAGTGCTTTCACCAGAACACACTACATTCCCTTTCTGCAGTCTGTGCCACTATTCATCGTTCAACTTACTCCCAACAAGAACTCATTCACCACTGAAACTGTGTTCTGAATGAGTCAGGGGTCTTATGGAAAATATAGTTGTGATCATGGTATCATAATGCTAGTGAATAAGGTATCAGAATTAAGAATATCTATGCTAGCTTAACTTTGACATTTCTGAACAGTTGAATGCTTCACTTTGCAGCCTCAGTATTCTTTTAGTGTAGGGATATATTTTTCTATGCAATTTCCCAGGCTGAGTTTCCATCTTGTGCATTTATTTTTTTAGACAGGTGTATAATGCTCTGCATTACACAATAAGAAAAGGACTGCCTCTTTCTATATAAGGACATGCCCCAATAATGTATTGGGAATGCAGGGTTCTGTTTCTGACTCTGGATATGGATCATGATCTAGATGAGGTATTCAATAGGCGGACCACAGGCCGAATCTGGACCACCAGATGTTTTGAATGGACCCTGAAATCTTTTCATTTACTTATTATTATTTATTATTATTTTTCTCTGGAGTCTGGACCTTGACTATACCTTGACCAAGAAATTTGGACCTTGACAAAAAATAATTGGCTACCCTGAGGTTAGAGGAAGGGTCTGGGAGTTATGACTCCAGCCTGCTACTTACTTTTCAGTGATGTTTTGCCCTTATGTAGCGCTTGTTCATCTGTGGATCCAATGGCATCTAGTAAAGATGGGTGTGTCAGAATATTACCATATTACAGACAGTCTTGTCCTGGTCAGATCTGACACATTCTTTTTGATAGACGCTGTGAACGTGGTCTAATGTAGGGGTTCTAAACCTTTTTATTTCTGAGGCCCTGCCAACATGCTATAAAAACTCCATGGCCCCACCTGTGCCCCCAGAACTGGTTTTCTGCGTGTAATACTCCTGGGGGAATTCTTCACCACTGTGCATGCGCAGAATTTGTCCCCCACTGGTTTCTTTGCTTCCCTGCAGAAAAATGACTTTCTGATGGGGAAGCAATGGCAAGCTACAAGAGCAGTCATCCAACCCTCCCCAGCAGTATTATTTCGGGTGCCCAGGGCAGCCGACAGAGGTAAATCACTGTGGGGCAGGGGGCAGGACTGAGGAAGAACCAGCTGGTGGCTCCTACCCAGCACCAGGCTCAGTTGCTAGTCCCGGCTGGGCTGAGGAGGATGGGACTTCCTTTTCCCCTGCATGGCACACGGGCTGTGTCAGACCTACCCCCGACTTCTCCCCCGGCTGTAGGAAGCTCTGCAAACTCCCCTCCTCCCCCCGCGCTTCCTGCACCCATCACTCCTCAGCTGCAGGGGGAGGGATCACTGTACAAGGAGCTGGTCCCCTATCCGCCCAACCCTCATGCATCCAGACCCTCCTGCCAAGCCTAACCCCCCCCCCCACACACACACACCCAGAGCCCCCCTGATGAGCCCCACTTCCACTGCACCTGGACCACCCTGACAAGCCACCTGTACCTGGATCCACACCCTACCGAGCCCTGACCAGCTGCACCTGGACCCCCCTGCAGAGTCCCATTATTGTTGCACCCAGAAGCCCCCAACAAACCCCTGTGCATTCAGATCCCTCCCCCCGGACCTGGCTCCCCCACTGAGCTGCCCACACACAG